GGTTATTAATGTGTTCCTGGATTGCATTAATCCATTCGGTTTGTTCTTCTTCGTTTGTAGCCTGGAACTTGTAGATTTTTTTTTGATGGAGTTTCAACTTCAAATTTTCTATTATGTTCCTTTCTGACCTGGCAATTCTTTTCTATTTTAATTTGTTTTGGTGATGATTTACTATCTTTAAAGTAGTATAATATACCACCATGGAACGCAACGTATCGTTCTTCAGGACGCTTGAAGAAACTGTGAGATTCTTTATTTAATCTTCCTTGTTTAGCGCCAGGATATTTTTCCGTTACTTCAGTATGAACAAGTTCGAATTCATCATGCACATTTTCCGAATCTTTTTCTTCACTTTGTGAGCCCGATCGCTTTTTTTGCATACTTATCCTATTAACCGAAAACAAGAAAAAAAATGGTAAGTTAAACCTTTTATAATTAAAAATTCGAATAATTAATTTATTAATTTATACCTCTTCCTCTTTTTGTCTTCTTCTGTTTCATCATCTTTATGATCATCATCACCGGAAGCCTTCTCAGGTCTTTTCTTGAAGACACTAGTAATTCTACGACCCAAATTTGTAATCTTTTTGGTAGGTTCCTCTTTGGGTTTTTCAGGGGTTTCCTCATCTTTACTTGGTTCAGCACCAGTTTTTTGTTCTTCTGGAGCAGATTCGATAGCTTCAGGTTCTATAAAACATTAAGTATTAGATTTTGTAAGAATTAAAATAGTTGAAATAGTTAAAATAGTTAAAATAGTTAAAATATGTTGAAAGAAAAGTTATACATACTATCAGCAGCTTCTGCCTCGGATGTGGTGGTTTTTTCAACAGATTTTTCATCTTTAATCGATTTAAATTGGGCAGTAATTGCATTGATAACGGGGTCTAATATACTACCCTTCTTCTTTTCTTCTTTAGTTTCTTCTTTAGTTTCTTCTTTAGTTTCTTCTTTAGTTTCTTCTTTGATTTCATCTTTGGTTTCACCTTTGCATTCATCTTTGGATTCATCTTTGGATTCATCGGTAGCCTTGGCATCAGTAGTGATGGTGTCTTCAGCGGCAGCAGGAGTATCACTAGTTCCGACATCTTTAGTTTCTTGAGGTATTTCTTTGTCTTTTACACTTTCATCCTTTATCTCAGGGGTCTTTTCTTTTTTTGAAAATAAAGCAGGAATACCGAAAAAGCTACTTTTTGAAGACTTTGGAGATTTGGTAGGACCATCATCAGGTGAAACATCAGCAGTATTACCGGTAACACCATCAGTATTGACAGTAATATTTTTTGACTCAGATTCATCAGTAGCAGCAGGCTCAGTGGTAGGTTCAGTAGTATTAGTAGTCTCAGGAGTAGCAGGAGTTTCAGGAGTTTTCCTTGCTCGAACAAAGTTGGGGAATAAAGATCTGCGTTTTGGATCTGGTTTTCCTTGTTTATCTTCACCATCGGAAAGGAGATCAGAATCAGAGATTGCAGCAGTTTCCTTAACAATGAATTTACCCTTTACTAAAAAATAAAAAATAAAAGATAATTAATTTATGATGAATAAATAATAAATACTTTATGATGATACTTTTTACGCGTATTACATAACATATTACATAGCATACTACATAGCATATTACATAGCATACATAGCATACATATATAAAATATATATAAAATATGTAAAGGGACCTACCGAGTTGATCATAAATTTTTTTGTATTCATCAGAAGCGTAGAGGGCATCAGTATCTTGCTCATCAGCCTGGTTAATTTCTTTACCAATGGTATGTACCCAACGCTTCTTCGCTTTTTCACTGGTAGCTTCCAAAATATGTTCTTTTTTATCTTTAGTAATTATTTTGAATTTGCTTGTACCTGTATTATCGCTCTCAACAGTAGCACCCTTTAAGTTAATAATACCCGATGGTTCACGGGATTTGTCATTCTTATAATAAAATAAAAGACCCTTTCCAGTTTGACTAGCATGAGCAATATTGCAGAAATGTATTTTGTTGAGTTCTTCATATTGATTTGATTCCTTATCTTTTTGTTCCTCTTTATCATCTTTGCATTCGGGAACATCAGATGCGGGAACATCAGATGCGGGAACATCAGATGCAGGAACATCAGATGCGGGAACGTCAGATGCGGGAACGTCAGATGCGGGAACATCAGATGCGGGAACATCAGACGCGGGAACGTCAGACGCAGGAACGTCAGATGCAGGAACATCAGTTTTTTCAGTTGATGGTTTTTCGGGCTCAGATGATGGTTTTGTGGGCTCAGATGAAGGTTTTGGAGGAGCTTTTGTAGGCACATCTTTTATGTTTTTCTTCCAATATACCGAAAAATTATCCTTAGGAATAGGTTCTTCACTTAATTCAAAATATCGCTGATTTTTACCAAAAATTATTTTATTTGGGTGGTGCTTATACAAGGTTCCCTTATAGATAGGTTCAGGGGTCTCAGGTTCATTATCTTTAGAAACATCTTCCTTTGCTGGTTCTTCAACTATTTTAGTTGTTTCAACCTCCTTTTTTTCTTCAGCTACTACTATTTCAGTAGTTCCAGAAGTTGTGGTAGTTACAACGGTTTCAGTAATAGTTTCAACTTTTTTCTCTTCAACTTTAACTTCAGCAGTTATTTCAGCGGTTTCAGTATTAGGATCGGCCATTATTGACTTTTTAGCGAAAAAATTTCTAGACTAAAAAAAAAACGGAATAATACGAAAGAAAAGTAAAAAAAAAATATATAGGCAGATAATAAACGGTAATTTTTATTCTTTGAAAAAGAAAAAAAGCGGAGAGTTTTCTTGTTTTTATTAAAATTAATATATAAAAAATAAGAATTATTATTAATAATAATAATTTAAAAATAAAAAACAGATAAAAGATATGAAAAGCCCACTTTTTTTGACGGGAAAAGAAATATAGAGTTTTTATTTTCAAAAAAAAGGGGTGTGATAAGATGAAACCTTAGCAAAAGGTAGACCAACTAAATAAAGAAGTTAGAGGTCATTAGGTGTTACACGAGAGATCAAGAAAATTTTTGTGCAAAGATATTCACAAGTTGATAAGCATTCAACATCACATTACATGTAGAAAGCTGATTATAGTCGTGTGATGAATTATTTGAATTATTTATGGAAGCAATAAGTACAGTAAGTACAGAATATATAACTATTTACAGTATTGTAGTATATTCTACGAATAATCTACGAATAAAAAAATAGCATTAATAACTTAAGAAACACGAGATTTTTTTACTGGTAGCATGTTACAAATTATTATTATAATTATGCAATTCATTATTTGTGGTAATTTGTGTGTGGTGGATCAATTTAGAATCCGTATTGCTGTATTGGTTTCAGTAAGTAAAGAACAGCAATTCCCGCAGTGTAACAAGATAAGTTCATCGATTACTTTGTATCGCCCGGTCCGAAGAAACCTAGCACCATACAAAGCTCTTTAAAATTATCTGCAATTAAAAGATTAAAAGAATTAAATGTTACGGAAAATATTATTTTTATATTAATTGATACTTATTAATTGATACTTATTAATTGATACTTATTAATTGATACTTATTAATTGATACGTATTAATTGATATTCAATTCTTTTAATCCTTTTAATCCTTATAATCCTTTTAATCCTTTATGCTAACGTTAACCTAACACTAACCTAACACAAACCTAACACAAACCTAGCACTAACCACTGGAACTAATGCGCAAACACCACGTAATAGGATACATAAGCTACATAAGCTACATAAGCAATATAAGCAGTATAAGCAATGAATGAATGAACTGGTTTACAAAAAAAGAAATCCAATTTTTCTTTTTTTTTCTTTTTTTTTTTTTTTTTTAACTTTAAACCACCAAATTAAAATGCCAAATTAATATGCATGTATGAAAATCAGCATACATTAACGTTAATTCCATAGTGCTAATATTTTCGTTAGTACGTACGTACGTACCTATATGCTAACCAATGTCAATGTACAAATGTATAAATGTAATAATAGATAATAATAGATATAATAAATGTACCAATGTTCGATAACAACACGTGAAATACAACCTAATGTAAAGAAAGGGTATGCGTTCGACCAATTGCCTGATTTCCCTCCAAAAAAAAAATAAAAATAAAAATAAAAAAATAAAAAATAAAAAATAAAAAAAAGGATAAAATAAAAATAAAATAAAAATCAAATATGTAAAAATAAAAAAAACGAATACGTAAGTAATTTCTATATATATATATATTCAATTATTTTCCTAATCTAGTCACTTCTTGTTACATTTCTTTGAAAGACTATCGTATTTCTTGGTTTAGAAATTTTAACAAAGCAAATAAAGAAATACATTAACTCACCCTGCTTTGAAAATAAGTTTACTACTGATTTGTTTATACGTATGCAATTTGGTTTGCGAAACTCGTACGTACGTACGTATTCGTACGTACGTATCAGTTCTTTAATATTACCACTTCAAACCGGGCATATATTTTTATCATCATGCATGCTATTCATCTAATCACCTAATCCATATCAACCCATATCAATCCATATCAACCCATATATCGATATATACATTTCTATATTTCATTTATTTCATTTGCATGAAATCAATAATCGTTACAAAATGATGACCTCTTTTTTCATCATCAGAAGTGAGAGTATACACATGTACATATTGATATGAAATAGAACGAATCATTGAACCGTACGGTGCATTCGTCATAAATACTTTGGCATATATGCGTGAAAGTCCTAAAATATCGGACCAATAATGAGTTATCATCTCCGATTATGAAACCATTAACAGTTTTTTTGTATGCGTCTCCTTCTCTTTCCTAATATAGATGCGCGCTGAAGCATATATTTAACACATGTAAATCCGTGCACCGGTGTGATGAAGTGCAATGATTATTTATCACGTCGGAGCATGTTTCTTGAATATCCGATTATTTATTATGTAAACAAACAACTAAACTAATTCGTAATTGCCATCATTTCCTTTGCTTATTGTGTGCTTGAAATAATTGAAATAATTTAAAAATATAAAAATAAAATTCTTTTTATAATTTTATATAAATTATATAAATTATATAAATTATATAAATTATATAAATTATATAAATTATATAATATTATATAATATTATATTGTATATACTTTGTAACATTGAAAATAAATATTGAAAATAAATATTGAAAATTATGTTGCAATTTTTGCCAATTTGTATTGTAAATTCATATTGTAAATTCATATTGTAAATGCGTATTGTAAATAATATAATATTAATATATATATATAGTAAGATATATTGAGATATATAGTGATATATATAGTGAGATATAGTAATAATACTGTAATAATCTAGTCATAATCTAGTAATATTCTAGTAAAATTATAGTAAAATCGCACAAAATTAAAAATTGATTTTTCTTTCCCATTATTCACAAAGTATGTCATGAGCTATTTAGTGAACTATTTAATTATTTAGTAAATAAAATTATAAAAAATTTGTCTTACTATATATATATATATATATGTATACAGTTTAATAGTAATTTATAGAACATGATCATTCATGTAATATTTGATTGATTAGCTATAGATTTAAATTTAACGTTTAAAAAAAGCTTAGTAATAAAAGAAACTGTTCCAATATTTTTTTAATGCTTTCATTATGCTTTTCATGATGCTTTTCATGTAAACAGATCATTTGCATATGGTTGTTAAAAAAAAGAATCTGTACATACGCAAAACTCGTTTGCTCGGACTCACAAATCTTAATGATCGAATCCCCTTTCACCAGCACCTATCATTGTTATAAATGATCGTCATGAATTCCCTCTCCCCGATTTACGGTTTTTCGTTACTGTATAATTTAGCCCATTTGTCCTTTCTTGGTTAGCTCATTCTTAGTTGGTTTTTGATCATAAAAACGCCTGCATCAGCCTTGCCTAGTCATTCTTTATCTGTCAGGCTTTCTTTATCTGTCAGGTGAAGTCGTATCATTTTAGTCGTTTCCCCACATTCTATCTATGTACGAATAATAATTTTTCGTTTTGCCCTTTTTAGTTCTATATTTATACTTTTATGGCTTTATTATGAGCTCATAATGAGGAGTGATGTTTAATGAGTTCACTTATTATTTTGTTTCATTAGTGTAGCCTTTTATTCTTGTTACATTGCTTTTCGTTTTTGGTAAAAATAATACCAATATCATCAATTATTAAATCTTATGACTTCAAATTTTCTCTCACGCCGATATTCTTTTACCAGCTGTTTGTTATAATCCATTTAGTATTATTATAAATTCTTACGTATTACAGTTACGTATTATATTCTTTATTTCTTTTCTTTTTTAATCTCTGATTATCGTTTTAATTGCTTGTTACTTCGATTACCTAATGCTTCTTTAATTTCTTGCTCTAAATCAACGTCTATTATCAACTTTCGCTTTATCTATTATTATTATTATTATTATTATTATTGTGAATTATTTGTGTCACGTTCTACATTTCTTTTTATTTTCCTTTTTAAAAAAAATTTTTTTATCCCTTTTTATTTTTTATCTTACCTTGGATGTACCGCTCAATTTCGTAATCGGGAGATAATTTGCTGAATCGCTTTGTGATGATTGTTCGGAATTTGTTATGGAAAGATGTGCTTCTTTGGAATTATTTTGTCTAAAACATATATAATATCTATGATTATTGCATGCATGCCTCCCTATTTAATTTTTCTATATTTAATTTTTCTCTATTTAATTTTCCTATTTAATTTTCTCTATTTAATTTTCTATTTAATTTTAATACCTTAAAATGTATCTTTGTTCGGACTTTTTAAGTGTATGAACTGATGGTGTGCTTCTGCTTTGCATCTTGATTTCTCTCCTGTCAAAGCTCGGTCCTTGGAACGTAAATCCTCGCTCCCCTATTTCATTTGCTATTTCATTGGCTTCTTTCACGTGTAATTTGCTTTCTAATGTTTGCTGTGTTGGTGATTTAACCGTGGAATATTCTATTTCTTCTTGCTTTACAAATGTATTGTAATTTTTCGTCATTCTTGTACCACCAGTTGGCGCGCTTAAACATTGTTGACAATTGGCTATTTTTTGATTCTGCACATAGTATGTCATTATGATTATGTAAAAACTTGTCAACCTTCATTTTTCCTTTCTTAATTTATCAAATGAAATTTCTTACTTCAAGAACATGTTCAAGCATTTGTTGATGAATGGTGAGCTCTCTCTTTAATTCTTCAACTTGTGCTGAAAGCGATTGTTCTAATGACTTTGTGCTTTCTTCTTGCTTCAATTTGATGTCTTGAATTATTTTAGGATACAAATCGCTTATCTGTTTGCTTATTTCTTCCCTAAATATGTCTTTTTTACGTATCAACTTTTTTTATTAAAATTTACTTTGTCTATGTAAATAATCATCTATTTTCGTACTTTATGTACCTATGTGATTCCCTCCGCGTGAATTTTGTACTTCTTTCGTGAGTGATGAACCGATTGTAGACATTTCTTCTTTTATAGTAATTATATTTTGTCTTAACACATGCTCGATATTGTCGATTTTGGCCATCAACTTATCGATTTCAACTGAGCGTGATATTAAATCTCGATTCATAAATCTTGTCTCAACTTTCCGCGTTGAAAAAGCTATACAACACGGTATTTCTGTTCCATCATGAGCTGTGTTATGATCTACCACGTTTATTTGTGATAGATAATCGGTCAAGAATTTTGATTGTTCTAAAGTCTTCAATACCTGAAATTATAACAATCGTTGTTATCTTGCCTTTCTTTCTTTATTTTATTATTTATTTTATTATCTTTTATTTTATTTATTCAAACTTTACAAACTTTGTCTCCTTGCACCTTCTGTTGAGTCTCTATCGAGTTTTTGTCAACACTTTGCAAAAAACTGTTTGGATTAAGCTGGTTTAAACGAGAATTTATATTAAAATCTTGTGCTTGTAAATCCATCTATGAATCTATTAATCAAGTTTATTTTTTTTTTGTAATCAATCCTGTTGTTTATTTAAGTCATCTTCATTAATCCTGTTGTTAATTTGAATTTTTAATGACCGAAATTATCAGATCATTATTTCACGCAGATCATGTTAATCAAATCGTATCATACATTTGCTTATTTGTACGTAACACTTCCCATTTTTTGATCAAAAAATCATTCCAGAGTCAAATACTAATCAACTATGGTTAGATTCCGTGTCGACCGATGATCTACGTATATGACCCTTTGTGGCACGGCTAAGCATGCCATTTGCCGAAGCTTATACCACTAAATCACGTGCCAAATACATTATTTTGATTGGTCGCTTATATACGTGCGGTTTTGTATCTTTCGGAATATTTTGTAACTATAATAAATAGCATGCTTATTAACCATTTAAGTTTTGGAGATGCCATTATAGCATGTCATGGTGGCATGTTTGTGACTTCTGTGCCACTTTTTACTTTTATACCCTGTAATATTCAGAGTATATTTAAGCTTTAATAATTAATAAATTTGTTTAAAAAATGTATAGTATAATTATATTTTTTTTAGTTGCTAAATATATTTTATTAGAAATTACAGTAATATAAGCTATCTTAATAAAATTGAGTAATTTTAATTTATTTAATTGTTCAAAATTGTTTAAAATATTCAAACTTGTTGTTTATAACAATACTATTCTGATATAAGTTAGTTAATAAATTTTTTTTTTTATAATTCAGCAGTCTTATCACTTTTTATTTGAAATTAAACTAAACTAAGAAATTTACATTTCCTAATAATAGCTATACTAATTTAATCAAAAAGTAACCTACTTATATTTATACCAGATATAACTTGCCTTAGTAAACTTCAAGCTTCTCTTCAGGCTTCTAACTTACTAGAAGTTATCTTTTAGTCATGGATTGGTACTACATACTATATCAAAATTAACTTTCTTTTTTCTAAAATAAAATACAAACAAAAATGAAAAAAAAACAAAAAACAAAGATAGTACTATTAAATCTATACAGAATTATAAAAATTATATAATACTATAAATAAACTAGTCTGAATTCTATGCTAGTTATTTATATTTATATTCAAAATATAAAAATATCAAAAATCATCCAGTTTTGAAGTAAAGATTCAAGTTCAAAATTTCTATTGTGATCCTGATAAATTTTCTGCAATATTTCAATTTGTAATTTTTTGAGCAAAATTAACAAGCTATTGTCTATTAATCTACATTGACAAATCAGATATTATCAATGTAATTATCACAACCTCTTGAGAAAAATATTTGACACTATAAATTCATAGTATATATATATATATATATTTTTTTTTTTCTTTTTTAGCAGCAATCGTTATTGTTGATTTTTTAATGAGAATATATTGTATTTCTTACTTTTTAGTGAAATTTCATAAAAATCAAAGGTGGAGTATAAAAAAAGGCTTTGTTTGCAGATAGCTTCAAATTTTGGTAGTGAAAATATTAAAAACTCACTTGTTGTTCTCCTTAGACCAACTAACTTTAACTTTATCAGAAAAACAGTGTTTCTATTAAAATTTTCTATATAAAAACACTATCTTCTTGCTAGGTATTTTGTATAGGAATGCTTTTAACTTGTATAGTGATTATATAAAGAAGTTTAAAAAAAGATAAGACAAGTCTTGACCTCTGTAAAAATCATTATTCATAGTTGTTGCTTTTACTTTTCTCTAGCAAGTTTCTGTTTTTCATTAATTATAAATTTGATACAAGTGATCATTAGAAAAAGTTGTTTCTAGCTATTGTAATAGTTAACTAGTAAATTTTTAAGATATAGTATTATAGATAATATAGTATTAACTTAAAAACAATTTTTTTTCTTTATTAGTAACCTTGCTAGTATCTTTATTAGATTAAAGCATATATATATATATTTAAACTATTTAAACTATAGATCTGATATCATTTGGCTACTTCTATAGGTGTTCAAATATAATTTATCTCATCGGTTAAGATATTATCTATACTGAAGAGCTACACCAAGCTAGCTAATGAAGCTATAATAAAATGACCTCAATTTAAAGAAATTTTTATCAACATTCTTTTAACAATTAACCTCTTTAACTTTATTTTTCTTTTTATAATAATCTGCTTTCAAATCTTGATTAATTCATCCAAATCTTTTTTTTTTTTAGAACTAAGTATTTTCTTTCTTTCTTTTACTCTATAGTCTTGATTTTCTTCTAAAAACCTTCCTTTGTATTTTTGTATACTTCTCTTAGTTTTTAGCTACTTTTAAGATCATTTCTATTATTTTAAGCATAGTATTTTTTTCTTTTTAAACTTTTGAATTCTATTCTCTTTTTTGCTATTATAACTTGTAGATTTGATTTTATTTCAAAAGCCTTCTTTTGTATTTAATATATTCTTCTTGATTTCTAAGAACTTTTTTTCTTTTCTAGTTCAGCTATTCTGCTCTTATTTATTTAGAACTAAATAGGACCCCGAAATACATATAGATAGGTAAAGTTAATTATAGGGTTATTAAAAAAGAAAAGATCTGCAAAAAACCCTTTAAAAATAAGCAAAAAAATTACTATAAATAGAAAAGATCTGCATAAAAAACCTCAAAAAGAAGCAAACTCTTACCTGACCTATCTATGTATATTTTGGGGACCTACTAAGTTATTCAAAAATCACAGTAATACATAATTACAGAATTTTATTACTAACTATAATAGATATAATCAGAACAAAAGCTTGCCTATATGTTATTAAATACCAAGCACGATCTGCTTTAATAGCTTTTAGCCTTCCTCCAGGTCCTTAATTTACTACAAACTTTTTTTTATTGTTTATCAGCTGGTGGCTATATCATTCATCAAGAAGTAAAATTAGAAAATAAAATAAAACAAACTAAAAAAAAATACAGATATAGGGGAGTGTATTAAAAATATACAAATACAAATAAAAAAGGAATAAGGGAATATTAAAAAAAAAAAAAACAAAATAATTTTTCTATTCTAATATCACTATTATAAGCTTGTAGAAGGCTTAAAAAAATTATATACTAGACAAACTAGTTTCTATTTCTATATTTATCTATCTAGTATATTAAAGTAAAAATCTAATAGAAAAAACTTCATTAACCAGCTTATTTATTAAAGATGGGAACCGAAATCCAAACCTCCCTAAACTCTTTAGATTTAGAATATAGTATTTGTTAGTTTTGAATTAGATATTTTTTATCTAAATCCCAAATCCTAAACTAAAATCTAAAACCTAAACCAATGCCAAAATCCCAAACTAATATTAAAATCCCAAACTAATATTAAAACTCAAACTAATAATAAAATCTCAAAACTAAATTAACATATATAATACAATTTTTTAAATACAGTAAAACCTTTATAAGTATATATATATGAAACTTAACTTTAATAATATATACCTAGAGAACAATAAGAAAAAATAAAGGTTCTCTATATTATTGAACCTGAATTTGAATATATATTTAAGAAGAATATATACTTATAAAGAGTGTACTTATAGAGGTTTTATTATATACCAACTTTATATAAAATATATTTTAATATTTTGAAAATATCAGTATTAGTTTAGAATTAGGTTAAGTTTTTAATATTGATTTAGGTTTTGAGAAAACTAAGTTTTAGCGTAGGTTTAGGATATTAGTATTGGTTTAGGATTTCAATATTAGTTTAGGGTTTAGAAATTAGTTTAGGGTTTTGATTACGTTTCGATAACTATAAGCAAAACCCGAAACCTTTAGGCTCAAGAAAAAAGGTTTAGGTTCCCAACTCTATTATTTATAAAGAGGTCAGAGCAAAGTTTCGAAGTATCAATTGTATAAATATCCATTATATTTGAGGCACATGCATTATATATATTTGTTGTTTTGTTTTAATTTAGAAAATAAATAATGCTGACTTGTTTGGTATATGTGATATTGATCATTTGGAAGGGATAAACTAAAATGTTCACTTTTTATAAAAATTTTCTTGAAAAAAAGTGATCGATGTTTATGCTAAAGTCTAGTATAGATTCAGTAGCAATAATAGTTTTGATCAGTAGAGTAGCTTATCTACTATATATTAGTTAAAAAGATGTATAATTAGTAGTAGCATATTTCTTTGTTCAATATTCCAAAAGAACAGCAGGTATATGTATATCTCATTTATCAGCTTCTTTAACCTTTGTGAGTGATTCGCAAAGTGTTCTGTTAAGACATTCAACTATTCCATTAGTCTGCAGATGGTATAGTGAAGAGAACTTGTGCTTGATAAGAAACTTTTTACATAATATTTAGATAGTTTCACTAATAAAGTTTTTTCTTTAGTTTGATAGAATTATTTTAGGAGTTCTATGTTTACAGATAATTTCTTCAAAAATAAACTTTGCTAAAGTTTTTACTTTAGCGTCTAGTATAGCTCAGGCTTCTGGCTATCAGGTTAAATAATCTGTTGCTACTATGATATAGCGATTATTCTGTTCAGTTATAAGTAGAGATCCAATTAAGTCAATACCAATTCGTTCAAAAGCTCATCCAACCTGTATCAGATATAAGAGTTCCTTTCTTCTGCTTTTCTGTCTTTTCTAGCATTCTTTACATATCTGTACATATTCTTTAATATCTTGATACATTTGGTTCCAATAATATTATTTAGCTATTTTATAATATATTGTGACTATTTCTAAATGTTCAGCAGTAGAATGTTTATACATTATATAGAGAACTGATTCTACTTCTGTTCATTTAATAACTCATAAAGTTTGTCTGAATCTTTCTATTTTTCTTATAAAGTAAGTGGAGTCTAATTTCGAAATATTGTGCTTGGTTAATTAATTGTTTCTTTTGATTCTCAATAAAGTCTTTTGGGATAGTGTTTGTATCTAAGTACTGATATAACTGATAATATCGGTCTAAATTCATGATAATTTGAGTTCTTTAGTCTGGGTCTGAAGTTGAGAAAGAAT